TGGCATTGAATCTGAATTGAATTCATCAGCTATTAACATACCGTAAAATATCCAGAATAAAGTAAAGACCACAAAAACGAAATTGATTATGGTATTAATGAAGATACCAACATTCTCGGTTCTATAAATAAAGAGTTTAGTGTCCCAAATCACATGACATAAAGAAGTATAACTTCCGAATTTACATACACAGCTCCATCGTCTCTGGCCTGTTCGGGGGTAGAGTAAGTTGCGTTTGGAGTTTTACCAGGTCGAATGACGATAAAATAATTTTGAAGACTTGTGCCTATTTTATATATCAAAGCGCGAATTTAAATAGATAAAATCTTGAATAAACACGATAAAATATTTTATAATATTTACCATAGGAAATCAAACCAAGTGGTGGTGTCAAAATATCGCTCTGATTTTTTAAGGGAAAATTCGACGTTATCAATTATCACCTTGAAGCTCGAGAAATCTGATTTATCACAGTCACTCACCACAAATGAATTGACCATCATACTAAATGCAGAACCGATGATTATACCTTAGCGAGAAAACCAAGAAATTCACGAATTTAGAAAATGCGAAATTGCGTTCCGTTCATCTTTGCGCGTATTTCTACATACCAATACCCAAGTCGACAACATTTCCTCCTCTATTATTCAGAAAATCTTTAAAATCTTTCCAAATTCCTGAACACATTTTATTACAACAATAAAATTTAAGAGTACATGTGAGGAAGAAATTCTCATTTTATAGCTATAGGATGGAATCATATCGCTTCACCTTGTGATCAATTTGTGTACGTACTTTGTTTCTTGTCAAACTAATTTAATCTAATCATCAATCTTGTGCCATCATCGTAGCCTTTAACAAGAAAAACGTGCGTGAGTACGTAATACGTAATTTTATTTATTCATTACGTAATGATTTACAGTTTAATTCTCCAAAATGAATGATTCTTCCTCTAATTCCCTAGCCCCACCTCCTCCTTTACCACCTTTACCACCATCCGATGGATCTCAATCTTCCTCTCCTGCTCCAACATCATCCCTCTCTACCCATGACTACATAGAATCGAGTAAATCCCGCATCGCCACCATTACGTCTCACGATAAACCAGAGTCTCCTGATGGTGATGCCACCGATTCCACAAAACTATCTCAAACCCAAAAAATGCTTCAACAATTATTGAAAGACCCTTTATTGTCGGATCTGGCAAAATTAAACAATGAAGATAATATCAGCTTGGAAGAAGTAGATACTTTGATCGCTTTGGAAACTGGTACTGCATTCGAGATAAGAGTTGAACGAGATGGACTAGAACCAATTGGTACGTTCGGGAAATTTCCACGGAAAATTTTAGGCGAAAATAATTAACAATGTACTATATCACCTAAAAGTTTTAGTGGTTCGGCAGAATTCTACAATTGCCGATATAAAAAAATTAATTAGATTGAAGATTGAACATCAAAAAAAACAAAACGCGGAACTTGGTTCGAACAGAAAAATCAGTTGGTATGGAACATAATTCATTTCTACCAAAAAGTTCTTAATTCAATCAGTCTGCTTTTTAGCTAACTAATTATTTTATGCAAAATACGAAATACATTTGGAAAACCTATTGTCTGATTTTTGAAA